ATGAACTTAAAGTTCATTTCCAAGTCAGCCGAACAAAAGATAAATGTTATTCAGCAGAAATGCTTTATTCTTTGTACAACGATGAACATAATTTGGCATACTTATTATTTCTTAGACCACTGCTAGGAGAAATTCAGCGAGTTAACAAATTATTTGAATCTGAATATGCAGATTCAACTAAATTGGGGAAAGAGCTGCTCTCATTAACAACATCATTGGGAAAAATAATTGTTTTGCCTTCATTTAATTTTAAAGAAACTTTAACTAAGAAGACTTTTACTTCTTATTTGATTGCAAAACCTTATTTAGGATTTGGTTTTGAAAATAAGGTTGAAGAACTAAAAAAATCAAACAAAATATCTGTTGACCAAGAAAATATACTCAGACAAAGATGTAAAAATTGTCTTATTGTTATTGTAAAACAGCTACTACAAAGATTACCTGATAATATTCAGATATTAGAAGAAATTGAAGTATTTTCACCGCAAAATGCTTTAAGTCAGGTTAAAGATAATATAATTCCTATTTGTAAACATTTTGGAATTGAGAATCCAATAATTGAAAAAAATAGATTTGCAGTGGAGAAAAATTAATTTAGTAATTTGGAAAAATAAAAAGATGCAGTACAATTTTGGGCTGAAGTAAATGCTTTTACAGATGCCGCTGGAGTAAATCCATTTAAAGAATTATCCGATTTAGCTTTAAGTATATTATCATTACCCTGGTCAAATGCTGCGTGTGAACGGATATTCAGTCAAATGAATCTTGTAAAGAACAAAACTAGAAACAGAATGAATTCACCAATGTTAACGTCAATATTATACATTAGATCTAGCCTAAAAAGACAGAATAAATGTTGTAATGATTTTAAATTTCCTGTTTCTCTAGTCAGAGAAATCGGGACACTGGATATTTATAATAATAATAATGAGTCAAGTGATGATGACAATCAATAATTGTTTAATGATATTTTGTTTTAATTTTATTGACTTATAAATTGTTCACTAAACTGATTTTGTTATTATCATATATTATATAAATTGTTTTAATTTTATAAATTTAAATTGTTCACGCAGAAAGTAACTGCTTCCTACCGAAACTAATTTGTTTGTTTTTATTATAAAATATAAAAATTATTACTTTATGGTTATTTGAATTTGTTATATTTAATGAATTTGTAAAAAGAATTATAAGTTATCATTTACTGAGTATCTAAATTAGAATATCAGATTTAAATGCAATTAACACTAAAAAAAAATAATAACTACCTAGGTATATTAGATAAATAATTATTACATTTTACATATATGTAGTTCAATATACAATTTATAAACATTATACCTATTATAAAGTACATATAATTTCGTAGAAATCGAATTTGTTGTTTAGGTGATTTGGTAAAAAATTTGTTTTAACACAAATTATTAAATATTTAAAAAAATGTATTACGCGGGAAAACTAACTTTTTTATCAATGTTTTTGGTTGTTTTCTAGTTTATTTCTAACTGATGACTAGTTTGTTTCAAAAATTATACTTGGCAACACATATTATCGACACCCGACGAGGCAGTTGCCTATGTTAATGCATGGGAGATGGTATACGGGTGTGTGGCGTAAACACATACAATATTGTGAATGGCCAAGGCAGTCAATATACTGCCTCGGGCCGCCGGGTACATTGTATATAGCCGTTCTACTAGCTAGGTGGGTGACAGCTCGCACAGTGCTTACTGCTTAGCAGTGAAGTGTGACCCACCGTCGAATGACGGAATCATACACGAATATGATCCCCTTTTCATTAACTTTAAAACCAAAATGTTGCCATATATCACTTCTAGCACCAGACAACGGTACTAATTTAAAGTTTTCACTCATTTTATTTGTATAAATAATAAAATTAATAACGAACGTAATAATTACGACGTCTCACCAAGAGTTAACAACCGATACTGAATTTAGATTAAATTGTTTGGTGTGTTGGTTATTTCTTTGGAACATATTAATATCGCCTCGTATCATAATCTACGTTTTTATCTTTATTATATCTGACAGATATTTTATACTGTTTACTCAGTTTAGTGTTTAATCATCCGTAAAACCGCAAAATTCCGAGCCCCGATTAATCACACCGATATTGCGATATTTTCGATAATTATTTGTAGATATCGATATCGAAATTATTGAAAAAATACCCACGATATCGATATCGTATCGAATTATCGATATCGTTGGCCAACACTAATAAATAATTAATGTAATGAATCTATATAAATACTGACACTGAGAGAGGTTCTGATTAACACTATAATATGAGGTTCTGATTAAAAACTATAAAAGATGCTCTGACCAGTAACGCGGGTGTTGCTCACACTTTGGACCTTCCAAGACTACCGTCCGGGTCTCTAAGAATGTGCTGACCCAGCCCTTTCGGTCACGTAGACCATCGTGAGAACCGAATCGTTCACACACTTGAATTAGCCCGAGTCAACACATTTATCCCTATATATGTATTTATGTATGTATGTATATATCCACATACATACATACATACATACGCACATACGCGTGCATGCATATACAACAGCAGTTAGCAAGTAAATTATTTGATATTGACTGGAATGACCCGCCTCACCCCGCACCCGGCACCCCAATAAGTGTGCGCGGGCGCGCGGCCACCAAACTAGTTTATTCTTAGAATACTGGAAATCAGATGTCTTGATAAAGTAAATAAGTAATTAATAATAATAAATATTGCGACGACGCGCGACGCTGGCTCTGTCGTCCGTCTCTGCTAGTCGATTACGATTAGGTATAGAAACGAGTGTTCACCATTTCAATCAGTACCTACTAGCTACTACCTACCTGGCTACCTATACGAGAACATCAATTACAATAATACAATTTACAATTTAGAATATTTAAGTTTAACATGTCTAGTCAAAAGAGTTTGCATCAGTTTAAAAAAAAAAGGCAAGAAAAGTTGGCCAAACAAGAAGATGTGTTACAAAAATCAAAAAAACTTGATGGATTCTTATGCAAAGTATGTTCAAATTAGTAATTACAAAACCATCTTTATTTAATTTTTATATTTTATAATAATACTAGCTGATCCCGTGCACTTTGTTGCCCGTTAAATGTATCAACTCTATACGACACAAACTTTGTTCAATTCGTTATTTAATATTCTGTGTATGGTGTTCAAAATTTATCTTAACTTTTCCGTTGCCTGGAATAAAAATTCTGATTCGCAGCAGTATATTATCAGGTCGGCAATCTACCTGCAGTAGATGTTTGTACGTAAGTGTATGATTTAACTCTAAAGTATCAAAGTTATACCAAGTTTGTAGTTTTCACTCAATTCCACCTACGATGGATTAATATAATCAATTTATACAAAATCCTTTCCTAACCTAACCGTACTAAATCCGATGAATAAAAAAAACAAATTTAACCCTTTGTAAATTAACCCATCTTCTTCCCAGAGGTCTAATCTACCCACAAACATTAATTTATATATATATATCTAACTATATAAAAACAGAGACTATAACTATACTGACTAAACTCTGGAACTACTTATCAGATCTTCTTGTATATTATATTATATATATTATGTATATTGACAAAAAATAATAATACAAATCAACAAACATGCCCGATTAACCAATAGCAACCTAAAATTTTCTTTCATAATAAACCTTCTCCGTGAAATACTCTTTCGTTAAAAAAAAAAAATCAAGAAGTTCTGATAAGTAGTTCCAGAGTTCAGCCTGTACAGAGATTTTCATTTAATTTCATTTTTATAGTTTGATATTATATTATAATTTATATTTAAAAAGTAAAGCAAATAGTTTTTATTTATTATTATAACTAAAAACATATGGCAACCATTTATAAACAAAAATTTCCATATGAAATCTCAAAATTCCCGTTTGAGCACCTCCCGGGGTTGGTCCTCTCCCTTGTTAAATTAGCCTATCTTTTAAGTTTGACCAAATGTGACATAGTGTAAAAGTTTCATCAAAATCGGTTAAGTGGTTTAGGAGTCCATTGAGGACAAACATTGTGACACGAGATTTATATATATTAAGATATAATAATTAGTAATTATTATTTATATTTTTTCATTATTTCTTACGAAAATTGTAACTTTTTTAGAATCCATTTAGAATCAGCTGAAAAAAATGACGTAATAAAGTTGATTGACAATTCAGAATTAAAAAGTTTATCACCTATGTCCAAGGTATGTATATAAAATATAATATATGAATGCTTTTGAATAAGAAAATAAATAATTTAAATAAATTCGTGATCGCATCTTGTACACTGTTATCCTTATCTGTCAAACTACACGCATTATGCACTTATGCCGTTATACACGTCTTGCACAGTAGTATCAAAATAATAACGACAATTTTATTCAATCAAAAAATCAATATTCTTTAGGCAAAGTGAGATTTTGTAACAAAACTATGTTTTTTTCAAAATTACCAAATGGTGAACAAATTTCACGTGCATGGCTTGTTTACTCCCATAAATTAGGAAAAGTTTTTTGCGCACCTTGTTGGTTATTTAAAAATGAATCTTCTAATTTAGGTAATGATGGATTTAATGATTGGAAAAATGCACATAAGCGTCTTAAAGAACTAGAAGGATCTTTAAATCACAAAACATGTCAACTAAAATTGAAAGATTTAGGACAAGAACAAGGAAGATTAGATTCTATGTTATTGGTTCAAATTAAGCATGAAAAAATGTATTGGAGAAGTGTTTTAGAGAGAGTAGTATCTGTAATTAAAACATTGGCTTCACGCGGACTTCCATTCCGGGGACAAGAAGAGATTTTCGGATCGTCTAAAAATGGAAATTACATGATGCTCCTCTAATTGTTATCTGAATTTGACCATTTCTTATCACAACATATTTCGAAATATGGTAACTCTGGTAGTGGTACTACATCGTACTTATCATCGACAATTTGTGATGAAATTATTGTATTAATGGCCAGAAAAGTTAAGGAAGTTATCATAAATGATTTTAAAAGTCGTAAATATTATTCGATTGACGTCGACTCTACACCAGATATAACACATTCTGACCAACTTGCTTTTATACTTCACTATGCCAGTGATAAAGGTGTACCGACAGAACGATTTTTAGAATTTATACCAAAAGTTGGTCATAAATCATTGGAAATAGCTGAATCAGTCATTATGACAATCGACAATTTAAAATTAAATATATCAGACTGTCGTGAAAAATCATATGACACAGCTAAAAATATGTCAGGTTGTTAAAATGGTCTTCAAGCTCGAATAAAAAATATAAATCCTTTGGCATTTTATATCCCATTCACTGAACCTAGTAGGGTCGAATGCAGTTGAATGTTGTAATGAAGCTACTACATTTTTTGGACTAATGCAAAATATCTTTTTTTTTTCGAGTAGTACACATAGATGGGATCTCCTCAATAATAATATGGTATCAAAATCACGTACATTAAAAGCACTTTCCAATACGAGATGGTCATCGAGAGATTCTGCATGCCTGAGTTTAAATGAAAATTGGTCTGCCGTTTTAGCTACATTAACATATATAATGAATGATGACACTGAAAATTACTAGAAATGAAGCAAAAGGACTAATGAATAAAATTAGTTCTTTAGAAACTGCAATCATGTCAGTTGTATGGGGTTTTTTGCTTAGTCGATTAAACGTTACAAGTAATAAGTTACAAAATGTCAATATTGATTGTTTGGATGTACTTCAGTTATACTATAGTTTAATTAGATTAATAGAACAGACTCGAGAAAATTTTGATGATTTTGAAACGGAAGCATTGGCAAAGGCAGTTGGGAAGAATTACAAAATAACTACAACAAGAAAAAAGAAGCGAAAAGTTTTCCATGACGAATCTGAATCTGAAGATGTAAATTTATCGGCACGAGACAGTTTTAAAATACATACATTTATTCCAATCTTAGATGAATTAAAAACTGAATTAGAAACTAGGCGACATGCATATTATGATATTTTCTGTAAACCATTTACATTTTTAACGAAAATTAAGGAATTGGACAATCAAGAAATTAGAAAATCAGTTAAATTACTTCAAAACATTTATAAAAATGATGTAGAATTTAACGATTTTATAAATTAAGTGTTACATTTAAAAGCTCATGTCGATGTAATAATCTCTATAGAGAAAAAACACAACTTACTTAGTCTTCAAACATTTCTATATGAAAAAGACTTGACAAATATTTTCCCAAACATAGAAATAATACTACGCATTTTTACTTGCACAGCTGTCACCAATTGCTCAGCTGAAAGATCGTTTTCGTGTTTAAAAAGAATAAAAAATTACTTACGTTCTACTATGACTCAACAAAAAATGAACTTATATGCGATTCTAAACATTGAAAATCAAATAACTCGTCAGTTATCATTTGATGATATCATAGATAATTTTGCTACCGACAAATCAAGGCGCAAAATGATTTAATTATTGTACTAATATTGTATTAATATTTATTTGTTTAGTATTTACAAATATAAAAATACCTGAATCAAATTTTTATAGTTGTGTTTTATTTCATAGAACATTATCCCTCCCCCCTGTGGGAGCACACCAATTCACGGGGCGCTAGTGTTGCAATGCCTAGGGACGGAAAAATGGTAAGTCCGCCTCTGCACGAGTCACAACACAATGCAATATGGGATATGCAATGCATGTATAATCCAAGCTGCATGGAAGGTCATCTATGACCTCTTTAATCTAATCAGTGTAAACGAAATCGTATTGGTTCAAAAATATAACGAATACTATTTATAGATTATGAAGTGGTCCCTAAACAGCGAAATTATTTTTTGTTGAACAATACAATCACACAAATGTTGCCAACATCATATCAAAGTCACATAGTCAAAGCAAAATGCGTTATCATTAAATTTATTTTTATTTATATAATGTTCTTGATTTTAAAATCTTGTTGAAAAACAAATATTTATATATTAAATATTTGATAATGAATCTGTACCATGATAAAGTACACATTTTTATCGATTGTTGGGATAACGACTGATAAAGTGATCAGGTCACTTGTGACCTTATATGCAGTGAAGGGTTAACAATTTCGGAATAACGGAAAGAACGATTCGCAGTGTCATTCAATCAAGAACTTCTGGTTCGGGCATAACTGTAGAAGACAAACCCGGAAAACATGGCAATCATTCGAGAGCTGCCTTAGAAATAATTAATTCCGTAAAAGAACACATCAACTCCATTCCTAGAGTCGAAAGCCACTATCAAAGAGCCAACACAACAAGGGAATTCGTTGATGGCGGGTTGTGTATTGCCGAAATGCATAGACACTATGCAAAAGAGCTAGTCGATAATGGAATAACTGCAGCGAGTTACGATTACTATGCGCTTATATTTAATACGGAATTTAACATTGATTTCTCTCCCAAAAAAGATCGGTGTGATTTTTGTGAAGGGTTCAACAATGCCACGGCAGAAGAGAAAGCAAAATTGTAAAACGATTATCAACAACAACAAGATGAAAAAAACTTGAGCCGAACGGAGAAGGCTAATGATAAGGAAAAGGCTAAAGAAATGGGATCTAACATTGTCTTAGCTACCTTTGACTTACAAGCAGTTATGCCAGTACCTTTTTTTTTTTTTTTAAACAGGAACGGGTGGGAACTGTTTAGCACAATACTGCCACCCGACCCCGTATCGTTTATTCACCGTCAATACAAAATACAACTATAATATAATGTACATACGTGGGGGCCTCTAACCACCCTAGGTATTTGGCCTTCGGCCCACAAACTCAGTCACCATTAAAAAATCGCCTAACCCGCTCTGCATCCTCCTTCCGCCCGAGAATCGCCTCCACCATTCTGCCAAACGCCGACCTCAGTCCCTCCGCCATCGCCTCAATACGCCGCCTCCTGGATGCATCATCTGGGAGGAGCTCCTGTTCCGGTCCCAGGATGATATCCGGCACATCATTGGGTTGTAGTGGCCGTCCGACGCATTGCTCCATCTCCCGTCTGTCTTCTGCCCAGAACGGACAGTTAAACAATGTGTGCTCCACAGTGTCTTCCGGCTCATCACAGTGCATGCAGTGGGGGTCATCTGCTCTCCTCCTCTTCCACAGGTAGTTCTGGAAGCATCCATGACCCGTCAAAGCCTGAGCCATGTGGAAAGTCATGGCTTCATGATTTGACTGATGCACCCACCTCCTGATGTCTGGAATCATCCTCCTCGTCCACGCCGCCTTCGTCGTGTGATCCCAGATTATCTGCCATTCGCGCAGCGTTACCTCGCGCTCCTGCCACCTTATAACTGCCACCGTCGTGGGCTCCCGCTTGCGCTCCTTGATTCTGCGTCGCTCATCGGCCAGCAGGTGGGCTGGAGGTATTCTAGCCAAGACCAGAGCTGCCATATCAGACACGGTCCTGTAGCACCTCGCAACCCGAATAGCGGCACCTCTCTGCGCCTGACTGAGGGCTACCCTATTCCGAGCTGCCCTCACCAGAGCCAGAGCCCAGACCGGTGAAGCGTACAGCAGCTTGCTGTGTGCCACCGACATAAGCAGCCGCCTCTTACAAGCCGAAAGTTATGCCAGTACCTACTGGGCAGTGTTCTGCTTTTTTCTATAAATCAAGATTGAATTGTTTTAAAATTACGGTAAGTAAATAGTTATTTTAACTCTTAAAAAGCCGGCCAAGTGCGAGTCGGACTCACGCACGAAGGGTTCCGTACCATTATCTAATGTCTGTTGTCATTTTAATTCTGTATTGAAACTTATAAAACGAATCTTTGTATACGACGTCACTCATGGTAACCATTTATTAACAATACGACGTCACTCGTGGTAACTATTTATAAACAAAAATGTCCATCTGAAATCTCAAAATTCCCGTTTTAGCACCCCCCGGGGTTGCTCCTATCCCTTTTTTTAGTATTTGTTGTTATAGCATCCACGGAAATATATAATCTGTGAAAATTTCAACTTTCTAACTTTCATGGTTCATGAAATACAATCTGGCGACAGACGGACAGACAGCCGAGCGAAAGTAATAGGCTTCCGTAGGGAAATGTACGGAACCCTAAAAACCACTTTTATGACTGCTTAAATTGTATTGTAGGTATCAGAAATAATCAAGGATCATACCATCTGTTATTTCTGGCATCAAGGAGTAAGACAAAGAGGTGCTATTGAAATAGGTTCATGTCTTCTAATGTTCGTCGAAGAAATGGCGAATTCTCGTCCTGGAAGTGACATCATATTTTACTCGGATAACTGTTGTGGTCAACAAAAGAATAGTTAGAAAAAATTCAATCATTTTGTGATATTCTCTTAGTACTTATTTATTTATTTACGGGATAGAAATTCAATATAATTCACCGAATCTATTAAAAAGTACCTACTTATATTATTTGTTTCAGTTTTGTTCATGTCATGTATTTATACGCAGTGGAAAAATATCAAATAAATTCCATTACGCATAAATACCTTATTCGAGGTCACACACAAAACGAAGGCGATACTGTACATAGTATTATTGAAAAATCTATGAAAAGGAGCAAAAAATCAGGACCCCTATATACGTGCCCGATCAATTAGTGACTATAATTAGGAATTCTAAAAAAACGGGAAAACCATTTGTCGTTAAGGAACTGAGCTTCAAGGATTTTATTGATTTAAAATCGTTGATCGACGATATTGGTTAAAATTGTCAAAAACATAGAAGGTGGGCAAATAAAAATATCAAATATAAAAATTATAAGATTCGTGAAGGGCAGTGCAGTTTTTTCTACAAGAATTCCTACAAAGACATAACCTGGGAAAAAGCTCAAAAGAAAAAAGCAGGAACAAGGCGTTTTGGAGCAAAGGATATTGGTAGTATAAAAACAAAACTCACATACAACTAGAAAATTCCAATAGCTGAAAACAAGAAGAAAGATATACAAAGCTTACTAACATCCAATATAATTCCAAATTACTACGAAACGTTTTATAATACACTATTTTGATTTTGACTTTGTAAATTAACATTATAAATAATAATAATAATAATATTTAAGTTTCAGATTATATTATTATATTTTTTTTTTTTTCAAAAGTAAAGAATAAATATATTGAAGTATCAAATAATTACTTGAATTTGTTTTTCTACAACTCTTAATTAATATAATGTGTGATTATAACAAAATAATAAGAACTTCCTAACATTATCTTGAATGTAAAAAATACTAAAAAATTGGCATTTTCTGGAAGAACAATGACACAATTGCAATTTTTTTTTATTAATTTTGAGATGTATAGGTGTAGTTCATTGGTTTTGACAAAACCGATAAATCTATCTTAAACTAGACTAAATTTGACATTATAACAACAACCGGTTATTCTTTTTAGACTATTTATTATATCCTAAATATTACAAACAATTTTAATTGAGTTTTCTGAAGAACAACCACATTTTCACTTAGGTCACTTACTCCGTTGTTCCACCGGAGAAGCGGTATAATCAATAAAATCTTATTGATTTTCACTTATCAAATTTTCGTTTTACAGAAATATGATAATTTAATTATTTCACTATCCATTTTCATGTTTGTCTTGTTAAATCATCTTTCAAAACATCTAATGAACCTTCCCTAGTTGATAGATAATTGTTTTTCTTAAATGCAATTGTTAAAAAAGTGATTCATTGGTGGTATAGTATACATACCACAATGCAAACAGTGTATAATATCCATTTTATTTGCTATTGTTGTTATTTTGTTTGTATGATAAACAAAAATTCTTCATCTAGTGTAATTATGGCATATAAATTGAATGATGTAGATATAGTTGATTGCTTGTTTGATTTTGATGCTGAAATAAGTGATTTACCATCAGATAATAATAGTTTTGATGATGACTCTGATGTCGATCCTGCCTTTTTACAAGTCAATTGGTGAATAATAGTCCTTTAGTTGTACCTCCTAGTACCTCTGATAGTGATCTAGAAGAAGAAATACCTATTCCTAGTCAGTCTAAGATAAAAAAATTAACACCTAAATGCAAAAAAAATTTAAAAGATGCTAATATTTCTCAACGTTTAACTCATGTTATTTCTAATCAGTCCAATACACATAATAATTTACTTGTTCATAATGATGAATATAATATATTTGAAGAACCGCAGTGGGATAAAAATACAGAAATCTTTACAAATCCAGTGTTTTTATCAGATTCAAATTTAGCACCTCATATACTCTCATTGGAATCTAAAAAAAATTATTTTAAGAAATGTTTCTAGATAGTCTTGTTGATATAATTTTATTTCAAACTAATTTATATGCCCAACAAGCTCAAAAACCATACACACCAGCTACTAAAATAGAGTTGAAAACTTTTTTAGGTTTAAATATTTAAATGGGGATAAAAAGGCTACGATCATATACAGATTACAGGACCAGACTTGAATGACCCTTTTATATCTAAGCACATGACAGTCAATAGAATTTGGGTGGTTTTTGTCTAATCTCCATTGCAACGATAGTTCATTAGAACCAAAACGGGGATCAACCAGTTTTGACAAATTATACAAGCTTAGGACTGTGATTGAAAAATTAAGTGACTGTTTTCTAAAATCCAAAAATCTTACTCAAAATCTTACAATTGATGAGTCAAAACGAGAGCCATAATATACGCTATAACCACAAACAAACCATTGACGAACGTTAATTTCACGAAGGAACGGCGAGAGACGGATCCAGTGACCAGTTGTACAAACTTTTTATACACGTAATTAACACTGCGTTAGCGAACGGAGACACACCCACATCAGTCGTGCAGGTATGTCTGGTGACTTTTAGTATGTCAATCAGTAAGCTATGGACTGAAAGTGTACCAAAATTTACCAAGCTTTCGAGGAATTAGTTCCAATCTTTGTAGGTTTTTTGTCTAATTTGACTGGACTATACGTCATCTGGGTCTGATCTGACCTTGTCGCCAGTACTGATCGGGATATCACTACGCAGCTGGATCGGCGTACGCTGATATCACGGATGTATCTGCAAGAAATTTTTTTTTTTATTAATATTTAATGCTATTAAATTAGGAGGCCAACATGTAGGTGCCAAAAAATACCAATTTCCCCTTTTAAACGGACATCTTGGCATGTTCTATAGTACATAAAAAAAAATAAATAGTATTTTAGGTATATATATAGTGTAAATTAATAAGGAATAATTTAGGTAACAAATTAAAATTACTTTATCTTTTTCACCTTGCCAGTAAACATATCTGGCTTTGGCTTTACGTATAATATATTTATCTTTTGTGGACTGATCCTTAAGTATTATTTTATCCAGAATTTTTTTTAAAATTGCTGTGTTTTGGATACCACCATTCGGTACATGTCTAAAAGTATTTAAAACGTAAAAAAAATACCTCAAAATAACACTATTTGAATTAAAAATTACTTTTTCTTCTACTAATATGGGATCCTCAGCTTTTTGAACATCTACATCTTCCTCTATACTTTTGTCTTGGTTCGCAAATTTAAATTTGTCATCTAAGAACAAACTAAATTTTCTAAAAATGTCACCATGGATTGTATCGATTGAAGGCCTTCTTTTTCTTTAATGTTGAATGTTCGATATCTTAAAAATTGAGGTTCCTGAAAATAATAAAACAACTATTATAACTATTATAAGTGAATATAATTTTTTATTTTATAGTATTATTATTGTGCTATTTTTTGTAAGAATTGTAATTTTTTGTACAAAAATGTAAAAAAAGGTTTTTAAATACAGTCAAATTCGCTTATAACGATCTTCTAGGGACCTAGGGAATCTGATCGTTATAACCGAACTTCGTTATATCTGGATCATAAAAAAAAAAATTTTTTTTGAAAAATTGATTTATTAAACACATTTTTTACAGTTATTTAAGATTACAAAGTATTTATATAAATTTTAATAAATGTACAGAATATACTTGTATAGTATATGTTTACGATTTGTTTGAAAAATAATCTTTAATAGTAGTTTGTTTATAATTTGAATAAGATTTTTTAACAAAATTAGAAATATTATTTAATGCCATTGATACTTCTGGCGTATTTATGTCACTATTTACCGAAACAAAAGTACGCACCTGATCAATAAAAAAATACATTTCCGAAAAAGATGGTACTTTGAATACGATTTCTTCGCTCTCTTCGTCAGCTTGTTCACATTCATCATTATTTGCATTCAAAATAGACTTGAAAATTTCTTCTTCATTGGGTTCTTCGTTGGTCAAAAGAGCATCGTCAACCTCCGCAAAACTTTGTATGTTTTCTTCAGAAAAGCACTCTGTGTCCAAATGATTTTCACTTACTTCTGTTTCGTCGTTTACCGAAGCCTTGAATCCAGCGTGGTGGAAACAGTTTCTTATTGTAGTGGTAGAAACATCATTCCATGCATCGGAGATCATTAAAATTGCATCTAATACTGAAATTTTAATATCTTTTCCCTGTTCCTCTTGGTTAATAATTTTGAGTACTAGTTTTTTCCGAAATTTCACTTTTAATGCTTTAATAATACCTTGATCCATAGGTTGTAATACAGAGGTCGTGTTTGGAGGGAGAAAAACCAACTTTATAAATTCAGTTTGAACAGGAGGATGAGCCGGACAATTATCTACAGTCAATAGGATATGTCGTTTTTCCTTTGCTAGTTGTTTATCCCATTCTTTTAACCAGTCGGAAAATATGTCACCGGTCATCCATGCCTTTTTTTATTGCTTTTGTAGTCGACTGTCAAGTTTGTAACGTGCCAACTACTTCAACTCAATATTGATGGTATTTTGAATGAAAATGACAAGTTGTTGGTATAATGATAGTTTATTTGTATTTATTTAACACGAAAATATTCTAAGTCCAAATAATTAAATTATAAAATAGTGGTAAACGGGTTGTGACTTAGTATTGACTTTGTGGCTGTCCTGCTATAGTGCTCGTCGTCTTGGCTGGTGTTCGTCTGATGGACACTTGTCCATCGACGTATTTCGTCGGTTTTCCTATTATATCCCTCCTATAGCATTTTTAGTATATAAAATGGTACATAGCTGCGTATACCTGACGTCATTTCGGGCGTCCTCTACGAAATAATGTTAATTGGGATTATATGTTTCAAAGTTATCTATTTTGTTGTTTACGGCTTTTTTGTGTTTCCCAGAATATGGATAATACGCGCGTTCTATACTCTTATCGATATGGCCGCCCGGACGTTTATATTATTACTATTATTGGGTTACGTGCCCTCTGCCGCATTTATATCTGTTATTGAAAATAATATATTATATTATAAGCGTATTATACTTAATACAGCATAATATAATATAATATTTTATATATTATTACTATTATAATATGTACGTAGTCACAGCCCGTTACACCTCCCTGCCCTTTCAAAGGTTTTTGTAGGGCTACAATTTGTAGAACTACAAAAATCTTTAAAATAATTTTACATAAGACATGGATATAAATACATAGTACATAAATTGTTAATAATTGTCATAAAAACAATTTTACATAATTTCTTTTCATGACATAATGATTTTCATTTTACATAATTTCTTTTACAATACATAATTTTCATCACAAAACATAACAATATTTCTTTAACAATATAACAATATAACAATATAACATATCATAACATTTTTTTTTATATATATATATATCATAACAGTTTCATTACATAATAATATTTAATATAATATAATATTTTTTTTTCATTTGATTTTTAAACATAATAACATAGTAATTAAAATTTTTGGTTAACACATTATACCTTAATAACTAATACAATAACATACTATATTACTATAGCATTGGATTCAATAATATTTTAATGTTAAGTTACATGTTATATATAATATATTTTTAATGATTACAAATATTTCATAATCTCCAATGGAATTACAGACCAGTATATTTTAATAAGTGCGTGTTTAAATTTGTTAAAATCAATAATTGACTGCGCTGGCACAATTTCAGTAATATTATTTTACTATTAAAACAAATTGAGTATTTTCCATTTTTATGTCACATGGTTACCGTTTTACTAAAGGTCGAGTAACCATGCTCCAACCAAACTTCAAATGTACTTTGTTAAAACTGTAAAATAATTCTTTTTGTTAACCAGGGAAATGATTAATTAGATTTTCGTATTTGTATATCCTAATCGCATAATCAAATATACATTTCGTGTATATTACGTCTGTTCGTGGGTCATGGGCGTGAGTTACCTTGTGTTTCTTTTTACATATTAAACTGTGTCCTTCAGTGAGGTTAAGAATTCTCCCTGATTTGTCATAGTACCCTACTTCTACTTCAAAAATTAATTCCTTAGTGTCTACTCTTTCTAACTGTAAGTAAAATTGTCTATTTAAATATTTGTCATAGCAACGTAAATTTAGTAAAGGAAATTCCGTTAGCCCCAATCTTTTTAATATAATTTTGTCTGAACTCCCGCCCCATGTTACTATTATGTTTATTTTGTTATCACGCTGTATATAATTCCGTATGTATGTAACATTTAGACTATTAATCGGTGCCCTCAAACTTTGATTTAATTGATCTAAACAGACGTCTCTCATTTGCGTTTTTACCTTAAAGATTCGCGCTAAAGCTGCTCGCACCACTACTATTTCTTTGTCCTTCATTGGTCTTACTTCATCGTTTGCTGGTAATAATAGTGGTCTTCCTTCCAGTTTTCTAATTTTATAACGGTCTAGACTGTTCGATATGGCACCTGATATTAGTACATAATCGGTCCTGCGAATGTTGGTGAATTCGAAATCTACTATTACGAATTTGTGGGTGTTTTTTCTATATATAACATGAACATTTTATTATAATTACATTATTTAAATATAGATTAATTACATATTAATTACTTATATATCTTTAATTCAATTAACTACTTTAACCATTTATTATTGATGGCAACTTAACACCTGTATTTACCTTGCTTGTACTTGTTACTTCATTACCTTGCATAATATTTTCCTTAATTACATTTTTATCTTCATTTACCTTACTTTGTATTATAGGTTTTTGTAATTCGTATGATTATGGGTTATCCCTATTCATTGTTTCATACATTTGTTGCGTATAAAATTTACTCCTATTAATTGGTTCACCTATCGATATTGTCCTCCTAGTATTGGTTCTTTTCAAAACATCAGTATAACGGTATATTACATATAGTATTACTAGTATAATTAACAAAAATAGAATCAATCCTAATAAAACGTACGTCATATAATATTTAGTATCTTCTGCATTTCCACTCTGCCTATCTATTTCTTGGTCTATCATTGACTGGATGTCACTCAATGAATGAGCTAACTCATGTACATTATCTAATTTTAATAAATCATGCTTTTGTGTGTACTTTGGTATTGTTATTGCATCGAGTTGTGGGATTTTTAATGTCAAACTTCCTATACCTAATTTTGGAATGAAATTTATATAATATTTTGACTTGACTTCTCTGGTCGGATTTAAAACTATATCATTGGCATAAGCTCTACATTCCTGTTTTAGATTAATTAACCCTTGATTTTGTAACTTCACTATGTAAGGTTCTTGTTCACCTTGACACGTTATGGTCAATGTGTCACTAGTAGTAGTGTAAATCCATGTGTTGGCATATTTCAATTTATGATAAATATTTTTAGTAATTACTATAATTCCTGCCTCACAGTTACTAGGTAACTCATCCGGATTTTTGAATAACGAGACTTCACACGGTTGTCTAACCGATTCATGTTGTACGGGTTGAAACTCTGGACATATGATAAAAATCTCAGTTTCTGTACAGCTCAACAATTGAGTTTCAGTGAATGTTGTGAACTGTTTCCTATTTCTGGTTATTCCTACATACTGGAATTCGGGTTTTAATATTACACTATGATGTGAATCAAATTTATGTGGAATAGGTATTATTTTGAACAAGGTTAGTTCCAATTCAATTACTAGTGGAATTTTTATTAGAAAAACAATTTGGTTCCTACTATAGTACACGGCCATTTTAGTTATTTTACTTAGTTCATAAATTTCATTTGGTTTTGACCCCATAGGCAAATTTAGATTAACAGGTAAATTTAATTTGATTTGAGTTAGCTGTTTAGCCAGTTCCCTAGGGGTTACTAAACTTGGGTGTAATATTCCTGTTCTGGCGGCTGTTATTATGGCACTTATAGTCGTGGTTTCGTATGAAAATTGTGTGATTAATGCAGTGAAAATGTTATGTATTCTGTCACTGAGCATCATTGTTTCGATAGTGTATGTATGATTTTCTGCTGTTTTTAGTTTCTTATAGATTTCGCCCTGTTTGGTTACTAGTTCCTCATATAATGTATTCATTTCAGTGGATGTGTTTCCTATTCCTTGTACTACCGATTTGACTACAGTGGTTTGACTCTTTAAGATATGTAACATATTTTCATTGCTGGTTTCAATTTTTTCAATATTATTATTAGTTTCTTTGGTACAATCATCGTCGCATACTCCAAATAATGTTTTCATAGCACTACCTATAATGTTTATGAGCCCCCTTCTATTCCTATCAACCGTGGACATTTTATTATCAGATCCTACGTATCTACCAATAGATTCATACATTTGTTCTCGTTGCGTCGCTATTTCTTTAAACGTGGTTTTTACTACATGTGCAAATCTTGTGCACACTTCATATTCAGATTACTTAAATGATTAAATTAAATTGTTGAATTAAATTATTCAAATGATTGAAAATTATTTTAAAATCAAAGTGCTATTTCTATTTTATTTAAATGATTGAAATTTATTTTAAATTTAATTTATTATGTTAAGGTAAAATTGAATTATTAATTTAAATTATTTAACTGATTGGATAATTTATTGTAAAATAAAATTATTTTATTTTATTTAACGATTGAAGATTTAGTTTAAAACTAAATATTATTTTAATTTAATTTAATTAAATGATGGAAAAAAATTTTTAAATTATTTTTAATTTATTAAATGATTGAAAATTATTTTAAGTTAATTTATTATTTTAAATTATTTAAATGTTAATGAATTTATTTTATTAAAATGGTTAAAAATTGTATTTAATTTAAACTATTATTTTATTTTATTTTATTTTAAGTTAATTTATTATTTTAAATTATTTAAATGTTAATGAATTTAATTTATTAAAATGGTTAAAATTTATTTAATTTAAACTGTTAATTTATTTTAATTTAAATGATTGAATAAATCTATTGTAAATAAAATTATTATTTTATTTTATTTAGAAATGACTTAAAGTACTGAACAATATCTATCTTATTCTATTAAAATGATTGAAACATAAAATACCTGAAAATAAAATTTTTATTTAATTTAATTTAGAGTTAAAAATTTTTAATTTATTTAAAATAATTCATGACGTTATTTTAAAATAAACTATTATTTTATTCAAATGTTATTTAATTTAATCCTTGAAAATTTATCGATTTATTTTATTAAAACACTGGTAAAATTCAACACAATTTCGGTTTATTGAAACGAAAATTCAAAGTTCCTAAAAATTCTTATATTACTTAACACGACTAGTTTCTTCACTTATTACTATATACTATGGTCATGCATATACCATAGGAGACGAACACCACGATATTAATTACCTAAGCATACTTACAAAAACGCAGCTGGTACAGCGGGTGCTTCCATTGCTTGGTGGAAATGT